AGGAGGGACGTTGCTGCCCATCTCTCTACCATTAAGTATTTTTAGTTGCCTTTTTTGTCGTCCATAGGAAAGGAAGGAGTGATTCATGCTATACTATGACTATTCGACACGACAATGTAGGTACTAAACCATAATTAACAGAGGATCAGTATATGTATTCAACAAAACATGTTTGTGAGAAAATATGAGTAACGATTGGTTCGATTTATTTTAATTTCAAGAACATTACTCTGTAATAAGATACCAATGAAAGACGATTTATGTTTTGTTTCTTCTGTTTCATATGATTCTTCCACTTAGCGTTTAAATAACAAAAATGTAGATCTAAAACAAATACTTTTTTTTCCACTCGACAACCATTCCAAAATTCGTCTATCTCCCTCTGTCTTCTTTTTTATTCTTTTTACTGCCATGACACAATAGAGTACAATATCGTTTATAGTAGAATTGGTCACATGCAGATTTTGTTCTACAAAAAAATATCGGCTTTACTTAAAATCAAAGTACAAAATCGATTTTGATTAAATTTCTATGGGACTAAATTGAAAGCATATTCTTTTAGATAAAAAAATAATATCTACTTTCAAATAAAAAAAAATCCAAATTATTTTATATGACAGAGTTCTGGGGTAACAAATATAAAAAAAAATACAAATTGATTTGAGAATCTGCTCCTTTTTTGAAGTTGGTCAAAAAAGTTAGTTTGTTCTATTCTAAACCACATGCAATATGAAATAAAGATAAGATTTATTTTTCTCCATAAATTTTATAGAAAACAGGAAGCCACATAAGGAAAAAATAACTAATATACCATATACCTACCTATATGTATCTGTAATCTTAATACGAGTATAACTTTATCCTATGGTATTGAGATAAAATGTGTACCCTATTTATTCAGGATATGACCCGTCCATGCATCAAATCTCATTCAAATCCGATCAGCCTTAAACAGCTGAAGGGACTTCAATGACATATGTGATTGTGATTTTGTGATGTGTAATTCTGTAACAGATACCCAAACATCTTTACAAATTTTCACATCCTATTAATATTATCAATGTGGAAATTCGTATTGATGTCGGTTGTTTAATCTTGCTTGTTACTTAATCGCGCTTAAATGGCTGAACGAACTTGACGGTTTTTTTTTTGTACATAAATAAATAAAAAGTAAAAACACAATTTAATTTATCACTTATCTACACACTTCATCATCTAATGTCGCTTGAGAATGAATGTTTTTTTTTCTTTTATAGGCTAAGTATAAAAAATGTATAGCAAGTACCTGCTATATCAAGCAATCAATATTATCCCAGTGATGCAATGAAACCGCTGGTAAAAACTAGTTAGTTATGTTATTATTTGTATGAGTATCATTAAATTACGTATATAACGATAGCATACAATAAACAGTGATTATAAACTCAAACTCCCTAAAACACATATAATCACTTTTTTTTTTTCATTAAATACAATATAAACGATATTAATTGAAACAAATGGCAAAGTGATTTTATTTTAAAATAAGTCCATATTGAAAAACAATTCACCCGTTAAATAGAGTCGAAACCGATTTTCATTTTATTTCGACACCTGCCAATAGTTATGCCGATTTATTAACTCTGCACTTTTATGTTATTTAATTTCTCGCTTATTTTATATTTTTTAAATTTTGTTCAATTATCACTTTTCAACAACAGGAATGGAAAACAAATTGGAAACCCTCCTGATAAAAAGTATTAATAATTTAGTAAATTTAGTAATTATACTAAAAAAAAACCAAAACACCCACGTAACCATGGCAAATAGGCAACAGCAACTCGAGTGGGATCATGATATCCATATAGATGACTTTTCTACAAAATTTACCTCTGGTAATTGTAAATATACCTATTAACAATGATTTTTAATAGGACTAACTTACCCATATTATCTGTATGTGTATATTTTTCCCGTCATCGTTGAATCCTAAACTCCTCCAAAAACCGTTACATCTACATAAATCGCTAAAATTATTTCAAAATATTTTTGGTTTTATTCTTCAAATGCAGACAAAATTAATATGTTATTTAAATTGGAGTAAATCCTGTAGCTTGCAAAAATAATAATGAAAAAAAAAAGTTAACAAGGATAACATGTAATATACACACACAAATATATTATCAAATTTCTCATAAAATATACATATGTACATACAAATATAATGGATAGATACTTAGGCATTTGGCTGTTAAAATATTCGTATTCAATAAATCTCCCATATACATATTTTTATGTCAATTATTTTCATTGCCAGCAAGCAATTTTTATTGAATATCACCGTACAAACGATAGTCTGTACTCCAGCATTTTAATTCAAAACCAACACTTTATAAATTGCTCGCAAGTTCGCTATAACAAGGGCGTGAGATGCGACAATTTGGCCAATCAGCCAAGTATGATACTTCGCAATATTATGATTTATCTTATCGAAAATCAGGAGGCAGAAGTCGGGAAACAGTGGTTTGAGGCATTGATGGGAAAGAGCAAGCTTCATGGTTTTATGCCTGTTTTGTAATATAAACTTTAGCATGGGATTTATAGAGGCAACATTTGTATTTAATAAGAACAAAGCTACCAAGAGCTCAAAGAAACTTTTATTTATGTAACTAGTAAAGTTAGATTTGGCAGCTTTGTCCACATAAATTAGTATAAAATGAAGCTTCCATATTAATCGATATCTAAAATGTGTTATACATCTATGTACATTCACATAGAAGCTATTTTTATTGAAAATAAAAAAAAACTATATTTTTTACCTTTTTAACAATATAATATGAGAAATCCCTAGGGACTCAAGAAAACTATTTTCTTACGCGATTATCTTCTTTCTTAATAAAACAAAATTATAAAACGTTAATTTACTTCATCTAAGTGGTCGGTATTATTTTGTAGCGTCATTAAAATGAAGTAGTTTTTAAATTAATCATTTTAGCAAAATAAAAATAATGAATTTTCATTGTGGTGGATCTATCATTAAGTAGCGAAATTTTTTACACAAATAAATGAAAATGGATCACAGCAAAAGATACCGCTATAGAATGCTTAAGTAATATAAAAATATCTCTGTGCTATTGGCACAAAGTGTTCTCTCTTGTAAATAAATATAAGAAACCAGCTAAGTATGAGTTGTTTACAGAACGAGGGTTCCGTATTACAGAAAAAAGTACGTAGATAAAAAAACAGATTTTTCAATAAATATATATATATATTCGCAATTACATAGTTACGAAACTATATTTTGATTAGATGGAACGAGTTACACAATTACATGTACTCACAAAGAGGTATAAAAAATAATTATGTAGTTCATTTTCATAGGACTTCAAATTATGCGTTGAAAAAAGTATTAATTTTCACAAAATTAGACTTCCAATCCTATAACCAAACACTTTAGCGAAATATGTGTATTATAAATATGTAGGTGTGCTAATTACTCTGCTATATTTATGCTAACTATAAACCAATTTCTAATGATATTTTTTAAACAAAACGTTTTATTCCACCACCATTTTTTGGAATAAAAATAAATTATAAATTACCATGTAGCAGCTGTTAAGAATCTTCAATGACTGAACCCTAAAAGCAGCCATTTTAAATCCTCCTCCACTCCACCCCCTGCTAAGCGTTTAGCTGTAAATTTCCCAAGGGCACCGGGTTTAATTCTGGAACGGTTACAGTAATACTAATGTGACGTTGTAATTAATATTTTTTATAATTTTCATTGGATTTTAGGCAATACAATATTTTGTTGTTCTTATTATTACAACGCATGGGGGGAATCATGGGCGAAACAGTATACTCTGTTATGTCCATGTCTATAGGCGACGGTTACCACTTTCCATCAGGTGGACCGTCAGCTTGTTTACCATTCTAAGTTATATAAAAAAAAAAATTGTTTTTAAATTTCAATAATAAAATATTTAAACTCTCTATGTATTTCGTCTTATACTTATTATTATTCGTTTATCTATTTTTTTTATATTTCCTAAACCTTTACTGATATTATAATTATGAGTTTATTTATTGCCTTATAGTACCCTAATGGCTTAAGTAATCACCATGAAATTAGGAGAAGAATATACGTTACTTTTTATCTCGGCCAGTAAACACATCCCGGTCACGCAGACAAATTTGCGCGTAAAAGCTAGTCGAATATGCAATTATTTATGAAATATAGTTTAATGGGTATACGAAATAATTCATAATCCTATAAATTCATTATTTTCCCCATTCGCCTCTCCCATCCATATTTTTTTTATTGTAACAGAATAAAAATAAAGCCAAAATGAATCACATTTTTTTATTTAATATTTACAGCTATTGTAATATTATGGCTATTTTATTGAAACATAACAATTTAATTAAAAATAGACATGATATTTAAATAATGCGTATAAAACTAGATTAACTACCCATAACTAATATTTATTTATATAAAAAGAAAACTTCTAATTATATTATAAAATTTTATTTTATAAGATTATAGAATACTTACTAATCTATCTTAAACTATTAATAATTTTACTTGAAACAATAGGAAGCATTTGTTACATTATTGTAAGTTTCTCTTATATACTTTCTAGCCTAATTTACTTATCTACTTATATATATTATGACTATTTTAAACAGTAATATCATACAAAAATATAATGTAGAAGATGATGTTGGTTGACAAATCAAAATCGCTAAATCTAGAATCTTGAAATTTTCCAGATGCATTCTTTGTACAGCTTAGGTGAACAATAAAATAGTAATTTTGAAAATTGTTTTTCTAAAAGAGTAAAATGGGGATTGTAAGTTTGTATGAAATTTCGTCAATTTAGAAGTTAAATATGTGAAATTTTAGATTTAGGTTCTTGCTCCAAAGCTAAAATTAATGTTTATTGGCTTTTATAGATTTTAATGAGACTTAATGGATATATATACATTTACGGCGTTTTAAGTTGAGACTCCGAGCCCCTGTGGCTTCGAGGTCATAGGTCTTTTCAAAGAGATATGACGCCGGCTAGTGGGAACCTCTGGCGATCAGAAGGCTGGCCTATACATTGGCCAATGCATTTCCATAGCCATTCAGCGTGAAAATACAGCAAATCTCCTAGGCACGGCAGTGACCTCAAAGACATTTTTTATCTTTAAGTAATATTTTAAGAGCATGTTATTAATATTTATAGTACTTAGATATAAGGTGTGTATATAATAAACAATTTTTATTTTTAGTTAGGAAGGCAAATATTTAAATTTACTTTTTTGCTAAGATAGTTGTTATATATTATAAGTGAAGTCTAAACGAAGCCGCGGGCAATAGCGAAGTATAAAATATAAGTTGACGAGCAGTGCTTACAACACAACCATATTTCAGTTATAGCAAGATATTAATAATAGTTATATTAGATATTAATAATAATTATAAATATATTACAGGAGTAATAGATTAAGAAATAAGTATTACATTAAATAAAATTAATAAATTGCCAAAATCTCTTATATTTATATATTTTAAAATTTGTGCTTAATGTAAGTCTCAAATATGTTATTATAAATTTTTCAAATGAAATATTAGAAAAACCCCATGCTGTATGTAGTCTCTCAGCAGAAAATACAGTGTTGATAATACATACTTTATCGATAACAACAGCAAATTTTGAACAAAATTTACTAATTTGTCTTCTTAAAAAAAATTATACATTTGGTCACTAATTAATATGAACCTATTTTGTATAAATGCATTTTTTATAATAGGGTTGATTAATGACAATTAAATGTATAGGTATGTATATAAATTTTAATTTTAACTGTACATATCTTAAGCAGATGAATCCGAAGCAAAGAATTACAAAAGCATTTTATATTAACCACAATAGTGTTAATTAGAAATACAACCCGTTACGAATAGTATTTACTATCGGATGTCCATAATGTATAGCAACTATGTGATTACCTTATAGTGTTCAGTACCTCACATTACTTGTATCTAAAATTAAAGGTTACTTCAAGTATATATTTGTGTATTGTATATATTCTCAATTTTGTTTGAAAAAAAATATACAATACTGCTCATTAATTAAATAAATATGGTAGTGTATCACCAAGTTATTATTTTAAAATAGAATTCAACTTGGTGAATCCACATCCATTGAATACTCCTTATTATAAAACAAACTTATCAGCACCTTTTTTCTCATTCCACCGCTCGTCTCCGGACTATATCCACTTCTATTGCACTCAGTTATGTGTGCTTTTTTTATTTTTTTACAAGAATCCGGGATTAAATTCTGTTTTCTTTTTCTACATCTCTTGCTTTGATCATTATTACGTCGTGTGAATGTATCCTCGTTGCTGTTGTGTTCAGATAATGGTGAGTGGAATAGCTTTTTACTGATTGGACGCAGATTTGGTTTCCTTATTGGCGACTCTGTTTCCATCTGCAAATTACAATTGAAATTTTAAAATACCATTCTTTTAAACACTGTCAGTGGTTTTAACATTCTTAACAAGAATTCAGTTACTCTTTATTGTATATTATTCATTCTGGTTTAGTTACTCTTTAAACATTTATTAGTTTTGATAATATTTAATAAGTAACGTTATTGGATATACGATAACTTTCTTGGAACATACGAATGAAATAAGTAAGCGCAGTGATAGAATAAATAAGATTATTATTTTCACCAATATTTTATTACTATAATAAATGCGAAAGTCTATATCTATGAATGGACTGTTGGATGGATGGATGTTTGTATTTTTTTACTCTTTCACACAAAAACTAGTAAACAAATTTGAAAGAAATCAGGTACACAAGTAGGTTACTGGCACTTACACTTATTATTTCACATGGGCTAAGCCGCGAAATACAGTATGTATAAAAATATGTTTACCACCTATTATTTTTCAATAAAATCATTATTTATAGAATCAAGAAATATAAAAAAGAGACATTGTCCGATATCCTAAAGCAGCCCCACCTACCAGGTTCAATTGTGAATTTATATTATCCAAGGACCCTAAAATACATACAAAAAGTTTTATATCAAAATTAGTACTGCGGTTTAGGAGTTCAGTGACATATACATGTACACAAGAATTATATTTATGAAGATATGAATGATGTTTTGTTATTAACTCACAGTGAAATAATAATATATCTTAGGATTGTCTTAAAAAACTGACTTCAATTGGCAAAACCAGTAATTTGGTTTATTAATTAAACGACTGAACTAATTTTGGTAAAATTTCTATGGGATCAATCTATAGGTATACCCTTTCAGATAAAAAAGAATTTTCCAAATCGGTTTATTTTACGCAGTTATGAGGTAACAAATATAAAAAAAAATACAACGAAATTTGGAACTTTCTTCTTTTTAAAGACAGTTGAAAATGAAAAAGCATGTTTGTTTTCAACTTCTTGAAAATGAACATGCTTATTTACTAGAAACTTCATCACTTGAATATTCGTGCGTACTCGTAGTCCTTAGCGCGAATAATTCGAATTTTTTTTTATACAACTTAAAATTGCAAACAAGCTGACGGCCCACCTGATGGAAAATGGTAACCGTCGCCTATAGACATGAGCAGTACCATGGACATAACAGAGTATACTATTTCACCCATGACACCCCCCATGCGTTGCCATTCCTGAGGACTCAGGTGTTATTCCTCTGTACCCAGTAATTTCCTAAGAGTGCATTCTACCAAACTTTAATTTATACACGAATAGCGCTGATAGTCTATTCCATGATCTATTCGATTCCATAATCTCGAATAAATCAAAACTCATTTTTCCATGCAATCTAACGTATAACTATACTTGGAATAACTATTCGTGACTAATAAAGTGAACGGTGACTGAAAATGATACCCGACAAATTAACGTTGTTCTACAAGGAAACGACATAAAAGCTTATATTATATCAACTTACTTTCGTTGTATTATAGTGAATAAAAAAAAATTGCTGTCATTTTGTTAATGTCAACAGACAACCACGTGGTATATCTACATTTGTTGCAATTTGTTGTCTAGTGTCTGCTTTTTCTACCTATTTTGCAAGAAAATGGCTGAAGATAAACGGAAACGTAGTTCACTATAATCGGAGAGAGAGTTACTGTTAAGTTTAGTGGAGGCCCACTATAATATTTTATATATAACATTTTATTTATTTTATACGAAAATGAAATCAAACCGAGATTACCAGTACTTAATTGTACTACGTATAGAAATCACTACACGCATTTAACAGCTTACGAATCTTAGATCATATGGTCCTGGGACGCCATTTTATTTTACTATTCTTGGAATATCTCTGTTATACCACGCAAAACAGTGGTATAATAAGAATAAGATCGTTAATCTTAGAATTGTAAATGGTAAAACGTAAAATTAATTTATTCTCGAATAATCACTTTACTACTTTAATGTAATAATAAAATTTATTCTCGGTTGGTCGAATCCGCCCTAAGGGTTATAAGTGTAGATTCCATAAAATGAAGAAATATCCCAGATCGTTAACATCTAATAGCAAGTTATTATTAAAACAGTCTGATTCATCGAGTTTGCAACTGAAATAAAAATTAATTAAGTTTTCAAGAAAATTGAACTATGTTTGAAAAGTAAAATTTTATAACGTTCAACAAAATATGAATATTGTGAAGCAAAATTACAACTTACGTTAATTTAACTTATAAGTATGGTCGTATCTATATGAGTATGATTGAATGAGTATAGTTTATTTGTATTATGTAATATAGGGAATAAGCAAAACAATTAATAAATGTTACGATACAGTTGTGTAAGTAAAATAAGGCGGTCTTATTGCTGAAACAATCTTTTCAATCATACTATACCACAATTATTAAAAAAAAATCCCTTTAAATTTTTGCAATCAATAAAAAATATATCAATAATATCATCTGATGCTTACCTCTTCACAATCCGAATTGAACTCCAATGATTCATTCATTACATTATTCGTAATTAACACTGTTAAAGTCTCTCTGGTGATTGTATTCACAGGTGTCGAGTACACGTTGTCCGCCATTTTAATTTTTTTTTTGTGTAGCAGGTAGAATTTTTGAACTTGTACCAAACACTTGTATTCACTAAGAGGGTCTGTCCTTGACTGATGATGCTTTAGTAGCTTTACGTTAGGCTAGGTACGGTCTGTTTTTGTTATCATATTGTAGGCTCGGACGCATTCAAAATGATAATTTATCGACATCTTAATGTCGATAAAATCCTCAGAATTTAACGGTTTCTTTTCTATATACTTATATAAATGTTAAACTTAGTGTACGTTATTATATTTTTATACTATTTTAAACATTTTAAATAATAATGCCAGCTTAATATATAGATGACAACTTTTCCCTTAATATTTGTCGTTTTCTGCAAAAATTACAATTAAATAAATAAATTATTTTTTAATCATTTAGAACACACTTGTACGAGTTTTACAGATTTTTATGAAATCTATTATATATTGACAAAATACATACAATTTTTTTTTACCTATGTGGTACTCAACAGGTATGAAAACACATGACTGCTTCTCACACATAAACGTTGTGTGTAATGTAGATTTAATCATAATTTTGGTTCAAAATCTTTATTTATTTCTAACAACTTTCTCCTAATATAATATCAATCATACAATTTTAATCTCACATGAACTATAAGAACAAAAATGTAGTTTCATTAAAATACTTAGAATGGAAAACAAACAAACAATTCGTCTAATGGAAAGTGGTAACCGTCACCTATAGATGTGCTGTACTTGGATATTATGTTTTCATGTCCTCTAATGTTACAAAGGCAAAATATTTTTGTATGTAATATTATTACAGTATTCATGTTTTACTGTTCTCCCCGGATAGCCGCTAATAATCATACGACGAACATAAAACTAAGCGTTTTATAACAGGGAGAATAAAATTTCATGAATTACGTCTATAGAAGTCTCAAATAAAACGATCCTCGTACTCAACAATAAATATTTATTTATCGATATAATATTGCTTGTCTCTAGTTACGGATACATGTTATCTGTAAAAGCATCAGCTCATATTTTTGCAGCTTTGTTATTTGTTTCCTTATTGTATTATCCCTATTACATTCAACATAACAATAAGTGTTCCGTGAAATGTATATAAAAGGTATATTTTGACCTGCAGAGAATAGAGCAGGTAAATTCACTCGCCACTTATTACCGATATTCTTACAGTCTATTCTATATCAATCACATACTTTTTTTTATTTTAAAGAAAAAACATATGCTTTATATTGTGAGTAATATGTATATGACATAAAAATATATGGAAATTAAAATTGTTCAGTATATCGCTCAGGACAATTAAGTATTTAATTTTATCATTTTAAAAAATTTACATGGATTAATTATATAATTAATATGATAATAAATTAAATAAAACGTTAATAATATTAATTTGTGATTACATAACGTAAAATTTAAATCATACTTAATCGGTTAACGCAAAGTAGCTTTGTCAATAAATTTAATATTAAAATTTTATCATTATAATAATAATATAATAGACTAATATTTGTTATACGAGTATAAAAGTAACAGGTAAGTTAAAACATTTAAAATCTAAAATTAAAAAATAAACTTAATTAATATCAATTATAATAAAATGTTATTTCACATAATTCTGCCATAGTCTTCATCATATTTTCTTTTGTGTAAAATGTAGAAAGAATTTTTTATCTAATCCTTGGATGTCACTTTTAGCTTTATTGTAAAGCAAACTTTCTATGGATTTAGATTTTTTATATTTTCTGCAAGTTTCATTACTCAAAATTTCTATCAAAGGTAACTGCGAAACGGCTTCCTCCATAGTCAAAGATTTCTTCAAGTGTCTAAAATTAAAATATTCAAAAAATGCAGCACATCTATCATTTAATTTTGCTATTTTTGCTGTTTGTTTTACTTTTGTGTCTTTAATAGCTTTTGGTTTTAAAATTGATAGACTAATGTCAGTATTATTAATGATTGCGGAAACGTCTGATTTATTACTGTTATCTTTGCAGTTTTCAAATGGCTCTGGTGCAAGTTCTAAAAAGTCGTAATTTTTTGGACAATTGTGAACGATATGCAGTTCACCTTCCAGCATCTTCCTTTTAATGTAATTCTCGATATTAGCTACCGTAATCTCAAGTTGGCATCTTGATGCATACACTTTAAAATCGTCAAGAAACTTTCTGATAGATATTAGTTTACTTTGACAGTATTTTCTTATTATTTTGCTGGCTTCAGTCTTTTCATCAGGTTTAATATCATCCTGCCCAAGGAGTTCATTATATCCTTCCAGTTTGAAGACAATTTTTTCGTTTTTTATCATCTCTAACTTCCTGATATACGAAGGCTTGACGTCTGATATTGAATACAAGTTTGGAAACAGCTCTTCTTGGTATTGTGAAGTGGGAGGTGGATTTGAGAACATATTAAATTCGTGACGCCTGCTCTGCGCTTTTGCTTCAGGTGATAATGTATCTTCCTGAAAATATAAAGTCATATATAAATAAACATATAAATGATAATAGCTTAGCCTTATGGCTACTACTTCATACATTAAATTCATAATCTAAATAAGTACAGATGGACAAATTTTCTAAAATTATTACTTTGACATCTACCCGCCTTATTAAATATAATATTATTTTTTCTTTAATATGTCCCATGTACAAGCATTGTCTAGTTGCAATTTTATTATTTAATTGTAACATGATAAAAATTTAATAATGTTATTTTGATACTAAAACGAATATATTATTAATATAAACTCATATTTGAACAATTATTGTAAAATTGAAATATTTATAACTAATTACTGAGAATATTCACAAGAATAGAAGAATGAAATGGCCACTTAACTCAAAAACATGATTTTTATGAGAATTTAATGACTACCATCGCTGTCACGGAATACACTGCGACGTCTAATAATGGAATAATGGTTTAAATATAATTTAATGTTTCTTAACAGCTATATATAATTTCAAAAATTAATTCTGGCAAATTTTTTTTTTTAAAAAAGATATATGTATATGTGTATTTTTATAATAATATGAATTAATAAATATTTTACCATAGCTTCCAGGGAATGGTAATAATTGCATACTTCATTAAACTTGTTCTTCTGGCCGCAGTAAAACCACGCAATGAATGCTCGTCTGACAGTCACATTGGAGTACGCCGGTACTGGACGTTCTAATAATTGGTGCACATCATCCTGGATTACATCCAAGGATGAATCTATAGTACCCATTAAGAGTTTACTCTGAAAACAATGGCATATAAACTGTTTATAAAAATGTAACTTGTCACTTCCGTCATTTTCATTATATAAGACTGTGTTAAACAAAAAAATCTACTTAAATTATTTCGATTTAAAAAGTAAACTATTATATTTATCCTTATTATATAGATATATACTTTCACATGAAAAAAAATCCAAATCGGTTTGTGATGGAGGTATGAAGTAACAAACAAAAAAATACAACCAAATTCAGAACCTTCTTATTTTTGAAGTCGGTAGAAAATATTAGATGTAAATAGTATTTTTAACCAACTCAAAGCAGAGGAAATTCTGAAGTCGACTTTTTTTTGTGTCTTATTGAAAGGTTAACTGCCAATATAAATTTGAAGTAAGTTACTTTATTTAGTAAAAATATTTAATTATTAAATAAGGAATTCCAGAAATACATATAAAAACAGAGTTCAAAATTGTCAACATCACATCGTAGCTTTAAAAAATATAATTTAGAAGTATTTTTGGAAATTTCTTAAAAATGTATACACAGTTTTTTTTTATAACACTTTTGATTGTCTGAAATCTATTCTCATAAAAATAAATTAATAAAATAGTCTGCTAAACCTTTTACATAAGGTAGTAGTTGCATTTATTGCTGTCGACACACACACAACTTACTTCGTATTCATAAAAAAGTTATAAGTAGTAATTTAGCATAACAATAATATTTAAAGATAAAGTATTTAAAAAAATACATTTTGCTGAAATTTTATTATTGTCCACTAATTATTTACAACAAAAAAGTCACTTACCATTTTAGAAATACTATGCACTTCTATTTATAGATATTCATCGACCTTCAGTCGAGTTCGTCAGAGACACAAATGCATAAAAATTGCCTACGTATGTACCATTTATTTATAATATATGTAATTAACTAATTGCACTAATTAAATACCTATTACGAAACAACGAAATACCGGTCAAACAATATGTCTCGAGCGACACTCGTCGTCAACTAACGAATTATATTTGAATTTGAAAAAGAATGTCTCAAGATTACCCTGCGTGAAAAATTTTATTTTGATTTAAATTTATTCTACCCTCAAAATTAACATTTTGGTGTAGATCGTTCCGAAATTGTTGTCAACGATATTTGCTATTACTTCTTAGTGTTTTTTTTTTATTCTTTGTCTTGTTCCATTTTTATACGCTACAATAGTTTAAATTTCATAAGTACAAATTATTTACATAAATTTTTATTTATATTTTTTAGTCAAAGGAACTGATGTTATGCGTATGTCATGATACATCGATGATTTTTTTTATACAACTTAAAATGGCAAACAAGCTGACGGCCCATCTGATAGAAAGTGGTAATCGTCGCCTATAGACATGAGCAGTACCATGGACATAACAGAGTATACTTTTAAGCCCATGATACCTCCCCTTGCGTTGCCATTCCTGAGGACTCAGATGTTATTCCTCTGTACCCTGTAAATTCACGCCATATCCCACCCTTCAAATCGAAACACTGCCATGCAAACACAACTGCTTCACGGTAGAAACACGAATGGGACAGAGGTACCCAAGCAATCGACTTTTGTACAAAGGCTCCCTCTGGTAAACCTCAAAGTAAATGATACCTAATGTTCCTAGGATCCGTGTAGGTTTTTTTACAGTTGTGGGTGGTCGTGTGGATGACAAATAGACCTACACTCGCTATTAGACGAGCAACGGGACACCTCGAAGTATGGGAAGGAAGATAGAATCATAGTAATATAATAAAATTGTAACAAGATGATGACTGTACAAAGGAAATATTTATCTGAGTATGTTAATAAAAGCAATAGAAATTGAAACAATCATCAACAAATGGAAATTTTTAGAATTTATGCCTGTAAAATGAATTTTTGTTTGGTTATTTCAGTATCACAAAAAACTAATGCATCGAACTGAATAAGGTTTTCATAGTTGTATTTCTGTCGCATATAAAATTTGATGTGTGTTTTATCTTGATATGCTATCTTAAAGTGATTGGGTAGCTTCTGCAAAAATCCACGCATACGAACTTGCGAGCACAAACTAGTCAAGTAATGAATTTATAGAAATAGTGTATATCGTTGTGTTTGTCTTTTTTCTCAATATCTTCTATACAAATACTGTTTGGAGAAGATAGATAAAAAATTAGACAGCGCTAAAATAGGCTATGTACCTATAAAAAATACCTAATGCTTTATTTATTGCTGTTTGCATAAAAGCGGTATGAATTCATCTGATGCAAAAATATACTATTATTTATGCATAAAACTGCCAAAAAATGTAATATTTTTAACTAGTAACACGTAATCGAAAATGATTTGGAATGTATGGTGACGTAATGTGAAAGTAAATAACATGTCTGTCATTAATGTTTCTTTACGTTCTTAGTAATATATTATCATTAGTTAATATATTATCATTAGTTAATAGTTATGTATTACTTAAATACATAACTATTAACTAATGATTGCGTTATTCAAATAATTATTGATTACTAATTTTATTATGCAACTGCAAATTTTAATATGCTGCAGTCACTGAAAACGTAGGGCATCCAAATGACAATATTTACTTCTTACCTTAAATCGGTAATTAAGATCTTTATAATATCGAAATATTAACTTTAAAATGAAATACTCAGAGATTTACATTAATGAAAACATCAAAATGATCTTCACGAAAAAAAAAACTATTTTATAAACTATATTATATTGAAAATAATTCACTATAGTATTAGGATTTCTATGAGCAAGTTGCAACCACTTTTTGCGTTTTACGTGCTCTTTCGACACACTAACAAAGTTTTTTCTCTTTATTTGTGCACATTCTTACAACATACCGTTTGTACATTTTTTTTTCCTTGAAAAACAGTACAAATAAACAAAAATAAAAAACTCGTGTATGACGCTAGATGATTGTTTACTTCCCCGTGACGTCACTGATGCCATATTGCTCAAAAATTGAGTTTACCAAAACTCAATTGTCTACAATACTCAATGTCCTACAGACATTTAAAGGACAAATTTTACTTCAAATGAAAAAAATGGTCATACTACATATATATAAAACATGATGTCCACGTTACAAAACATTATCATATTAGCTGTTAAATGTCCACTGCTGAACATAGGCCTGACCCATAAAGGGGCTTTTGCCAGTAGTTAACACGCTTGGTAGGCGGGTTGGCAGCCACAGCTAGGCTTTTTCATTTAGTAACGCTGCTACACATCCTTCGACCATTAAATTCCCGTGATGACCTTAAGAGGCCTTATACCGAGTTATATAACATACTAATAGATTAAGTTTGAATTTATCACAAAAACGCTCTCTAAATTAAATTAGTAACAAAACGAAATATTCAATGAAGTAAACGATTTTTTATACAACTGTTGGAGATCATCATACGGTTGAGTCATATATTCGTTCAGAATTTAGTAATACCGGTCCAATTTGACAATACCTCAGTAGTGTCTTTACATTCCTCATCTTGCAATGGTGGGTTCAATTTTCGTATAATACAAACATTTATATTCACTGCCTGTTTGTATTGGTCTAAATATTTTCTGTTCCTCACTTATAAATGTGAATGTGAATTTGTTGGTTTGTTTATCTCTTAAAAACTTTATGACTCAACCATCATAAAATTTGACATACACTTACTAATAGTGTTTGGCATTGAAGATGAACATAAGCTACTTTTTATCTTTTTTATTACGTTTCATTTTCTTTCCTTAGAGTCATAATCTTAATTTTTCATTTTTTTAATTGAACTGTCAAACCTTAAAATTATTATTATGCACCAATTTCTAACCAGTTAGTACGGTGTTAAAATATTCTTACAAATTTAACATGTGTAAAAATATTACTCCTACATTTTTGTTTTCGAATTTATCATCCTATAAATATATGTCTAGCATATGTAACAAATTTAAGTTTTAAATTAATAAATGTAGCTCTGTTGTAAATATATTCGTACCTAAGTGGTCTTATAAAAAAAATATTTTTTATAAATATACATAAACATTCAATTGTAGAAAAAAAATAACAAAAATATTGACTTTCATGACAATAAACACCAATGAACAACCAACTTGTTTTACGTTATATTTAAAATATTTGAACTTAGAAAGAAATCGTTTACTACAATTAACATTTGCTTTGCCAAAAGGCAGTTTTTTGCTCCGTAAAGAAAAACGGTGACATTAGTTATCACGACATTATCATAAATTATTAATTTGAAACATTACATTTAGTTTGTTTTAAAAAGAACCTTATCAGTTGTAAAAATAAATATCAAAATCGGTATACAAACTGGCAAGATAAGCTCATAAGTCACAGAAAAAAAAACAAACATATGAAGAGACTTTTTCATTTGGAATTTACTTTAAAATCGTAGAAAATTATCGTTTTTACAGACATAAACCATTATCAATTCTTACTTTATTCGTTTTAATATATTTTGAGATAATTGATATTACTTACGTCAATCAAGAAGTACTGACTGCCCTACTCTTTTACAAAATATTTATTTTCTGCCATACTGTCCTCTTAGACGTGTACCTAAATCGTAAAATTTAAAAAATTCTGCGACAGAATCAGACGTGGACGGTGTGGCTCCAGGGGTTTCTTTTTTAATTGAATTAGTCATTAAAGCAGTTACGTTTACAATTTTTCCAAGTATTATTTGACCAAAAAAATATTTGTAGCAGTAATTCTCTTGGAGAGTAAAGCATCTGTGATGACAACGCACTGATCCGTTTTATCGTACGCATCAGCTCGTATAGTATCAGTTAACAAAAAGAAAACTATTTTTTTTATGTTTGTCCACCGATTTCTCCATCAATTGTGGGACGATAAATTTTATGGTGGTCCTATTTTCACCAAGTCAGGATCTAATGATTAAATCTGAGCGAAACCAAAGGCAGCCCTTACATTTTATAGATATATAGCGTTCTATATATTTCCTTATTACAGAGCTAATACTTTCAAACTACTTTTATGATCTTTAAATCATAATTATAAAAGTGTTATGTAAGGTTATTGTCAAAGAAAATTAAGCAAATCTTAATTTTCATAAAAGAACAGAATATGGTAGATCCAAAGTTCTAGTCCTTTCAAAAATACATAATTCTATATTGTTTTTAGGTAGCCACTTTATATTAATATTATTATAACACTTTTGTATTACTATTACATATTTTCTATTTAAAAAGAATAAGATTATGTTAACTTCTAATCAGTCTTCTGATGTATTTCTATTATCCCAAATATATTCTATATAAAGAATATCATACTATTGTTCCAATCCGAGAACGTAATGCGATTACGGTTTGGTAAGTAAAAATATAAAAAAATTAATTGAAATCCATTCAATAGTGTTTGAATGAAAGTGTAACAAATATCCATTTATTTATACAATATCATAAAATTCCGTATTTATAATAGAGTAGGATTTGTAACCATAATTATAAATAGGATTTATTGGCAGTAATGCTCTTTTCACACCAAATCTTTTCGATAATACCATCTGTAATGCTCTTTTCGTCGATCGCCTGAACTTTTATTGACATAAATTTTATGTAGGAACTCCGAATCGAAATTCAAACGGTGTGGAATTTAAGTAGGCTCCTTTGACGTTACTTAAGGAAAAAGTCTTGATATGACATCTATTTAAATTCATATCTGGGTTGCCAGGGACGTACTAAATGTATAAATACGCCACGAACTTTTGTTAATTACTTTTTAGGTTCTGCAAAGCGAATAGTAAATAGTTAAGGATTGTACCCCACAAAATACTGAATACAATTGTGACAAAATCAGTTGTTTTTATTTAAAAACTATCCTTCTATGTTGCGATCTTGA